ACACATAATATTTACACAGGTTCTGAGGCTAATTTAATGCAGATAAGGCACTAAGTGCGTTTAATTACCACCTTAACCCACCACAGAACCTATGTAATTAATATGTGTTCGGGTTTAAAGGGATGAGATGGCAACCCTACGTACAGTGTATTGACAACTTTTTGTTGGCAGAAAGATCCTGTGTAAAAATAAACATGCATGAGCCCTTACTGTATACCACAGCTTAACATGTACCTCTAAATTATTTAAAATGCAATGTTTAAGAACCAATGTTTATGAGCTAGAATAAATTAGAATAACATAACATGCAAATCTGGCTTGCTCAATGTAATTGAGAGGGTAAAAAAAGTCAAAAGAAGATAAAGACACCTAGCAGAGTATGGTTTTGATCCATTGACCTCTGGGTTATGGGCCCAGCATGCTTCCGCTGCACCACTTTGCTGTATGCTTTACTTAAGCTGCTATATAACTTACTTCAAGCAGAACTTCACCTAAAAAGGGAAGTTCTGCTTATCTTACTCACCCCGACCACTTTCACTTTTGGTAGTTTAGTATTAGGTACCTATTTTTGGCAGGTGCCTGTTCCTACTTCTGCTTGGACAGCCCAAACCCCTAGTTCCCAACCTGTGGCCCGAGGGCCACATGTAGTCCCTTAGTGTTTGATGTGAGGCCTTTGGGTCCCAATAGTCAGTAGAGGGAGCTTTGATTTGTAACAGGTCCCTTATTAGTAGTAAAGTCCAGCGGTGTAATGTAACATTTCTCTAGTCTCTGACTGTCTCTTTTAGCTTGACTTCACTCTCCAACCGCTCTTGTAGAACAATCCCTGGCCATTTCCTCTAGTAAGTCTTCAGTCTGTGGCCATTTTACATAGCATTCAATGTAATACATATTATATGTGACCCTTTGGAGACAGACTGCATTTGAGGCCCCCTTTACCTTGCAAGTTGACAACCACTGGCTTAGGCGATCTGAGTGGAAGCCCCCCCCCCCCTCCCGTTCTCCTATTTTGTCACACCAACCAATAAGTTCAGTTAATTTAATTTTCTTGTGGATCTCTACAAGTCTGAGAGGAAATTAACATTTAGGGGATCTACAAAGAGTCCACCACTACAACACAGTGGCCACTTAGGCCACACAGTACTGCTGAGGTCTCAGAAATTCCTCCTTCAGTATGGATGTTTCACTGGATGGTTGAATACGAAGCCCGCTATATTATTTCTCTGATGGACAGACCACCCAAATACAATCTCACAAGAGCAGAGTGGGATGTAATCAAATCCTCCTCCTACTCTGCCCTGCTGACAAGGGGGGTGCTATTATCATGTAAAACTTATGAATACCAACAGAAATTACAAATGTAGTTGATAACAAGCTCTGTGAAGACTTCTTGCAGTTCACTCTTAAAGGATGAATTGGGTTTCCTCACCACAAAGTTTCTCCGGTGGGCCATTATCTATACTTTACCAAAAATACACAAATACCCACCTCATACACCTGAATGTCCTATCCTATTTGCACTACAGGGTCAGTTCTAGAACTCTGAAGGTCTTTGTTATTTTTTTTTTTTCTACAACCATTAGTCAAAAAGATTCCATTATACAATGCCTTGAAAAAGTACTTATACACAGCAGATCATCCACATTTTGTCATGTTACAACCAAAAACCTAAATGTATTTTATCGGGATTTTATGTGATAGACCAACACAAAGTGGCACATAATTGTGACATGGAAGGAAAATTATGAATAGTTTTCAATATTTTTTACAAATAAATATCTGAAAAGTGTGGTGTGCATTTGTATTCAGCTTCCTTTAGTCTAATACCCCTAACTAAAATCTAGTGGAACCAATTGCTTTCAGAAGTCATCTATATACATCCTGTATAATATTAATAATAATAATCTTAGTGAATAGTGTCCACTTGTGTGTAATTTAATCTCAGTATAAATACAGCTGTTCTGTGAGGCCCTCAAAGGTTTGTCAGAGAACATTAGTGAACAAACAGCATCATGAAGGCCAAGGAACACACCAGACAGGTCAGGGATAAAGTTGTGGAGAACTTCAAAGCAGGGTTAGGTTATCAAAAAAAATCCCAAGCTTTGAACATTTCATGCAGCAATGTTCAATCCATCATCCAAAAACAGAAAGAGTATGGCACAACTAAAAACCTACCAAGACATGGCCGTCCACCTAAACTGACAGGCCAGGCAAGGAGAGCATTAATCAGAGAAGCAGCCAAAAGGCTCATGGTAACTCTGGAGGAGGTGCAGAGGTCCACAGCACAGGTGGGAGAATCTGTCCACAAGACAACTATTAGTCGTGCACTCCAAAAATTTGGCCTTTATGGAAGAAGAAAGCCATTGTTGAAAGAAAGCCATAAGAAGTCCTGTTTGCAGTTTGCAAGGTGCTCTGGTCAGATGAGATGAAAATTGAACTTTTTGGCCTAAAAGCAAAACGCTATGTGTGGTGGAACACTAACACTGCACATCACCCTGAACACACCATCTCCACCGTGAAACAAGGTGGTGGCAGCATTATGTTGTGGGGATGCTTTTCTTCAGCAGGGACAGGGAAGCTGGTCAGAGTTGATGGGAAGATGGAAGGAGCCAAATACAGGGCAATCTTAGAAGAAAACCTGCTAGTCTGCAAAAGACTTGAGACTGGGGTGGAGGTTCACCTACCAGCATGACAACGACCCTAAACATAGAGAGCTACAATGGAATGGTTTAGATCAAAGCATAGTCATGCGTTAGAATGGCCCAGTCAAAGTCCAGACCTAAATCCAATTGAGAATCTGTGACAAGACTTGAAAGTTGCTGTTCACAGACGCTCTCCATCCAATCTGACAAATATTGAGCTATTTTGCAAAGAAGAATGGGCAAACATTTCACTCTCTAGATGTGCAAAGCTGGTAGAGACATCCCCAAAAAGACTTGCAGCTCTAATTGCAGGGAAAGGTGGTTCTACAAAGTATTGACTCAGGGAGGCTGAATACAAATGCACGCCACACTTTTCAGATATTTATTTGTAAAAAAATTTGAAAACCATTTATCATTTTCCTTCCACTTTTCAATTATGTGCCACTTTGTATTGGTCCATCACATAAAATCCGAATAAAATACATTTACGTTTTTGGTTGTAACATGACAAAATGTGAAAAATTTCAAGGGGTATGAATACTTTTTCAAGCCACTATATGTGCAGGACTCCTCAAACGTTTTTGACTATTTGAAACATTTGGGATCCATCCCTTCATGCTGTGTACTCGCTACCCTGGCTGTTAAAAGCCTGTACATGGTTATCCCACATGAGGATGGCATTGAGATATATCAAGCAGTAAGCCGCTCTGGACCCCGTACTCATTTGCAAAGAACAAGGGATGTATTTGGTTGCCCATTATTGTTAAGGGTGGCTTTCAGCTTCCAATGAGTGCCCCACCTACATACCCTCACAACTACTAGCCAGGTTTGTGTGGAACAGGCCCTTGTCCTCATCAACACAGGGACAAGATACTTTGCCAGCAGAGTATCCGCCATGCTGGGGGCATGTGGCCTGGTGTGGTTCAGAAGAGGGGTGTCTGCTTGCTCCTCCTTTCCTCAGATAAGGGTCCGGTGTGTATTTTAAGGGGGACCTCATACTGTCTTTATTTTTGTGTGGGGTCCCCCCTTAAAATCCATACCAGATCCAAATGGTTTAAGAATTTAGGAGGATCTAACATCAATTTTTTTGTGTGGAGTCCCTGTTAAAAGTAAAACCAGACCTGATATTTGTAAACATCAGTGTTGCAGTAGGTTGTATACATTGCACAGATGTGCGGCTTCACAGGTAGGGTAAGAGCATCCACAGGCATGTTTTTTAATGCAATTTTACATTTTTAATATTTTTCTTTAAGCATTACTAAAGTATCTGCTCACTGCTGTGCCATTTGTTTAGCAATCCCTAGCATATAAGCCTAGAAAATGGCCAATATTGTTTTGTAAGTTTCATAGAGTTCTGCCTGCCCCACCCAAATCCCCTTCATAAAAGAAAACTCTCCCTAAGCACAAATCCCTCCTCTTCAACAACCTACCAGCAACACATCCCAGATACAATCATGTGGTAGTGTGGCCGAGCGGTCTAAGGCGCTGGATTTAGGCTCCAGTCTCTCTGGAGGCGTGGGTTCGAATCCCACCACTGCCAGTAATATTTTCTTTTTTTCATAGAGATGCATTCATTTGTTATAATTTTGTAATGCCCTATGTATATTTTTCTTTAAAGCTAGGCCTTAGCAGAGAAACCGGTTTTATTATCATGTTCCTAGCTGGGTCTGACGTGTTGGTTAAGTGGTTAGGCTCCCAGAGCGCATTAAGAAAATAAGAACTGTTCACATTGTCAACCCGACTGTAGGTCTTCATGCCACTTAGGAGTGGCTAGATCAAAGCTACAGCAGTCCAAAGCTATAGAAAATATTATTTTCAAAAAGTTTCAAGATTTTACCAAAATATTTGGTAAGGATAAACAGAAGTTTCAGGAACTGAGCAATCTCATGCTCCAACTTGCTAATGAAGATCCACACCTACCAGGCCTCAGCTATTTAGACATTACTCTTGGTGTGACTCCTATTATTTCAAAGCTGCCATACAGCATTCCGGAGAAGTGGTTAACCATGGGATCAAAGTACGAGAAGGAGAGCCAAGTTTTTTTGTAGAACATTGCAGCAGGGTTCAACACTACAAATTCACAGACTTCAGGGTTCCTGTGTCTGTGAAAAAGACAAATATGCTGCCAAGGCCTATCACAAACCCTGAAAAGACAGATACTCTACCCAATGCTGATACAAACTCTGACAGAGATGACCAGAATGGAGAGATCAAAAATCCCATTCACCAATGTCCAGTTCATAAAAAACCACATCCCGAAATGCACTGGGTTCAACAACAAATCCCTACAAGAAGACAAAGGACTCAAGTTTTTTCTTTCAAGTGCTTCATCTGATTCAGCACAACTCTTCTCTTGTAGATGCTCCTTATCATATCATGGTGGGAAGAGCTCCAAACAGTCACATCAAAGAGCAGTGACCCAGGGGCGGACTGACAACTCATGGGGCCCCCGGGCAATAGGGGATCATGGGGCCCATGTGTCCTTGACCAAACTCAAAAAAGCCTATGAAAAAGGTACCAGGGCATCTCATGGGGCCCCCTACTGACCCCGGGCCCTCGGGCAGTGCCTGAGTTTCCAAATGGTCAGTCCGCCCCTGCAGTGACCTAATGGTTAGAATGATGACCGTTAAGCCCAAAGGACTGAACTAAGTTGGGTGGTGATTGTAACTCCTAGTACATACAATGCTCAAGCCTTAGGTGAAGTAAGTTCGAACAAAATAATCATTCAAGGAAGTTTAGGCTGTGCTGGAGAATTATCTTTTCATACCATCAGTAAGTCAACACTCTAAACTACTGACAGCCAGCAAGCCTAAACATCAACAGCACCAATTTTAAAAATCAAAAGCATTCAAAAACACCCATCTCGGTCCTTGCACTCAAAGGCAAATGTACACTTCGGTCCTCCACACACACAAACAGAGATAATCCCACACATGTGATATCACCATCAACATCAGATCATAGATAGTAATTCTAGCACTAGACCTCCTCTGTAAATCCAAAGTGGTAACCTGTAAAGGCTTTCAAAGCTTCACCTATGGATGGTAAAATTTATGTTGTTTGTTGTCGTTGCACAAGCATGCGCAAGTTTAAAGCGTGACATGTTTGTTATCCATTTACTCGGCGTAACATCATCTTTTATATTTTACATTAAAAATAGGTTATGTATCGTGGTTTTTTTTTGGATTAAAATTCATAAATTGTATTTTTTCCCCAGAAAATTTGTTTGAAAAACCACTGCGCAAATACCGTGTAACAGATTGTAAGCTCGTAAGAGTAGGGCCCTCTTACCCCTCGTACGCTGTCTGTCTTTGTTGTACTGTGCCATGTATTGTCCCCCCCTATTGTACAGCGCTGAGCAAACCCTTTGGCGCTATATAAACTCGTAGTAATAATAATAATAATAATAATAACATAAAAAAAACTGCAAAACCCACCAATTTATTTTCTAGGGCCTCTGCTTTAATAAATATATACTGTTTGGGTGTTCTAAGTAATTTTCTAGCACAAAATATTGATTGTTACATGTAAAAAAAAATGCCAGAAAGCGCTTGGTCTGGAAGTGGTGGAATTTACCGACATGTATATCTTGAGAAACAATACTGATGTTTACCAGCTCATGGACTATGTGACTAATGTCTCTATACCAGTATCTGTGACAATTGTGCGCATAGAGACGTGGATGCTGGCAACCATTTTGTCTCTCATGACTCTCGATTCTCCCTCCTTCCTCCTCCCTTTTGAATGGAATGTGAGTCTGTAAGTGAACTGAGGTCAAAAGTGCAGGGCTGTAAACCCCTAATTAGTCTGGTTCCAGAATGTCTGCTTGACATCCACTTTCCTCTGCCGGGTCGTAAAACCATAACTCAGTCGGTCATGACCTGTAGGCCATTACAGCAGAATGTGCCATAAAAAGTACATCCCACATGAGTCATTTTTCATACAAATTCATAAACGTCAGCAGGAACTGGGCACATTGATATGAAGTATATATTCGGATAGGTCATTTTAATATGAGTCACATGACACCTTACATCTCTATGTAGCTCCTACAAGAGGGTAGAAAGCAATATCTTTTATCCAGGAGTGGCAGGATATGCTACAGTTTGGTATCTGTGCATTTGGAATATGATTCTAAATATTAATCTGCCAGTTGCTAGGATGCTACCTGTACCTATTGAAGGTTATTGACAGTACTATGAACTTGCAAGGGATTTGGTCCTAACCTTGGTCACTGCCTAACACCCATCTCCAAATGGGGTGATTGGCTATTTGTTCTCAGGAGACACCCCTTTGAGATAATAGAAAAAGACTGACAGCCTGGAGAAAAGTGAGCTCTCCCTTTTAACATCAGGAACCATCTTTTGAGAGCAAAGGCTTCTATTATTATTCTGCCTTCTGAAACTTCTTTCTTTTATTTCTCTGTTGTTTTATTACTCTCTTTTATATATATATATTTGTTACATCTTTTTCTGTTAATATTTTAATTGCACCAGGGGTGGACTGACAACTCATGGGGCCCCTGGGCAATAGGGGATTGTGGGGCCCCTGTGTCCTTGCCCCAACTCAAAAAAGCCTATGAAAAAGGTATCAGGGGCATTTCATGGGGCCCCCTACTGACCCAGGGCCCTCGGGCAGTGCCCGAGTTTCCAAATGGTCAGTCCGCCCCTGAATTGCACCATTTTGACCTTTTTAGTAATAAATCCTATTTTCTGAAAAGTGTTGAACTGTTTCTAAATCTTTTAATGCAAACTAAAGAGTCCCTGTCTCTGAAGAGTGCTACTGTATGTGATAATCCTCTGAATACGTCTGTCTGTGGTGACAGTGTGTATTACAGACGCTTATACTAATATCATAGTGTTACTGCTAAGATTGGCGAGTTTCCTCCTTCTCTGTACAAAAAGGTGGTGGTGGCAGTGTGAAGGGTTAATTGCATAATTAACCTGACCCAGTAACAATCGCTCTCAGGCTGCTGGCACATAGATTGTGGTCCCGCGAGCTGGAAAAGCTTTGTGCAGGGCGCAGCTGAGAGGGGCATTGTTACGCAAATGACAGCGCGGTCTGAGATCAGTTGGTCCTTCGGTCACAAGTTGTTATATGAATTCCATCCATTATCAGATTTTATTTGTATATTCTAATGTTTTTTGTGTCACAAATACGCTGCTCCAAAAATTTAAAAGAACGCTTTGAAAACAAATCAGAACTCAATGGGAAAAAATCTCATGCTGGATACCTATACTGATATGGACTGGACAATGTGTTAGGAATGTAAGGATGTCCCATCGTTTGATGTGAAATGAAAATGATCGACCTACAAAGGACTGAATTCAAAGACACCCCAAAATCAAAGTGTAAAAATGATGCAGCAGGCTAGTCCATTTTGCTGAAATTTCATTGCAGCAACTCAAAATGGTACTCAGTAGTTTGTATGGCCCCCACATGCTTGTATGTATGCCTGACAACATCGGGGCATGCTCCTAATGAGACGACAGATGGTGTCCTGGGTTATTTCCTCCCAGATGTGGACCAGGGCATCACTGAGCTCCTGGACAGTCTGAGGTGCAACCTGGCAGCATCAGATGGACAGAAACATGATATCCCAGAGGTGTTCTATTGGATTTAAGTCAGGCGAGCGTGGGGGCCTTTTAATGGTATCAATTCCTTCATCCTCCAGGAACTGCCTGCATACTCTCACCACATGAGGACAGGCATTGTTGTCCACCAGGAAGAATCCAGGACCCACTGCACCAGCGTAGGGTCTGACAATGGGTCCAAGGATTTCATCCTGATAACTAATGGCAGTCAGGGTGTCATTGTCTAGCCTGTAGAGGTCTGTGCGTCCCTCCATAGATATGCCTCCCCAGACCATCACTGACCCACCACCAAAACGGTCATGCTGAACAATGTTACCGGCAGCATAACATTCTCCATGGCTTCTCCAGACCATTTCACGTCTGTCACATGTGCTCAGGGTGACTCTGCTCTCATCTGTGAAAAGCACAGGGCGCCAGTGGTGGACCTGCCAATTCAGGTGTTCAATGGCAAAAGCCAATTGAGCTCTGTGGTGCTGAGCAGTGAGCACAGGGCCCACTAGAAGACGTTGGGCCCTCAGGCCACCCTCATGAAGTCTGTTTCTGACTGACATTCACACCAGAGGCCTGCTGGAGGTCATTTTGTAGGGCTCTGGCAGTGCTCATCCTGTTCCTCCTTGAACAAAGGAGCAGATATCGGTCCTGTTGATGGGTTAAGGACCTTCTATGGCCCTGTCCAGCTCTCCTGGAGTATCTGCTTGTCTCCTGGAATCTCCTCCATGCTCTTGAGACTGTGCTGGGAGATGCAGCAAACCTTCTGGCAATGGATGGGCCATCCTGGAGGAGTTGTACTGTGCAACCTCTGTGATTTTTTTCAGTTTTAATGCAACATGCTTCATTACACAGGAAACATCATGGTTTTAGGCGAGGCTCAAATCTTTGTGTGTTTGTATAGTTCCAGGTCTGTGAGGATAAATCATACTTTGTTTTTTCGGTGGACGATTGTGATTTGTTCCTTATGTGTTCCTTTCAGCTCAACCCATTATGTGTCTTTTTACCTTTGCACGCTGTGATGTCATCACCAGGTAATGTTGCAGGTGGGTGGGGCTTTGAGTTTTATTAAATAAGCGAAAGTGAACGAGCGCAACTTAATACAACTTGATACAGATCTAGATGAAACAGATGAAATACAATGGAGCTGCTAACATAAAAGGCATACCTCGGCACCTTAGTAATAAATAAAAATCTAAAAAATGCAGCGCTAAAATTATGATTATAATAATGACCATCAAATGCAATCAAAATGTTCGAGTGAATTATATCTTCATAATGCAAAAAAAACCCAAAAAAAAACCCCTTAAAAGTCCTGTTGATGTAACGTATACCAATACGCACGGAACATGTCAGGGGAATCCCCTATTTTGACGTTGTTGACCACCAGGTGATGAATTTCTTTTGAGTTATAAGTGATAACCTTTCTGCTGTAATATATATGAGTGTTCTGCATTTTTAAACATTTTTTGTGGATTCAATAAACGGGATTACACTATTAGCACCATTTTGCCTCCCGGGCTCGTTATATCTCAAGCCAATTAGGGAGGAGTGGATCCAGGAGTCTGAACGGCGTTGGACCTTCTGGTGAGCCTGTGATGACCCCCAAGTGTGAGTGACACCATCCCTGGGAGTCTGCTGCAGCCCTAGATGACACCATTTCGGTGACCAGATCCTGAAATCTCCACGGATTATTTACATACAACGCTCAGTTTGTATGTACTTCTGGTAAGTGCATTATTGTACTGTCACCTCACGGAGCAACCAGAAGTATATCACATTACTTTGACCTCTGCAGTATTGGAATACTTTACATCAACAGGACTTTTAAGTTTTTTTTGTTTTTTTTCTGCTTTATGAAGAGATAATGCACTCGAACATTTTGATTGCATTTGATGGTCATTATTACAATCATTTTTTAGATTTTTATTTGAGTTTTATTAGTTTGCAAACTTTTACATTTGAATAAAATGCCATTGTTTTGACTTTTCACATGAAACCCATTACAGTCTCTTAACCTTTTGTGCATTGTTGCTATATTTGATTGTTGGCCGTGAGCAGTAACTGTGGTCAATAGGTATATGTCCACTTTATGCATGTAATACATGAGCTCTAAACTGTATACTGTAGCTGAACATATACCTGTAAATGAAATCTAATGTTTATGTAGAAGTTATAAATGTCAGTTAAACATGAATGTAAATCCAGCTTACTAGGGTATGATTGAGAGGGGAAAAAAAAAAAAGTGAGTTAGCAGAGGATGGTTTCGATCCATCGACCTCTGGGTTATGGGCCCAGCACGCTTCCGCTGCGCCACTCTGCTGTTTATGGTATACTGTGTAGTAAAAGGTTTTGTTGTCTGCTTTGCTGTCACATGTTCTTATATTTCTTAACTCTTTGTTAATTTGCTTTTGCAGTAGTGACACTGACCCCAGCCAAATGCAAAACTAGTGAAAACAGTCAGAAAAGATGAATAGGGAAAAAACATCAATGGCCTCCACCTGTAAAACATTCCTGTTTTGGGGGCTGTCTCATTGTTGCCCATCTAGTGCACCTGTTGTTCATTTCATTAACACCAAAGCAACTGAAACTGATTAACAAACCCCTCTGCTACTTCACTGACCAGATCAATATCCCAGGAGTTTCATTGACCTCACACTATACTCTGATTAAAAAGAATTCCTTTCATTTTTTGAGCAGTGTATATCATATAAGAACAAAAATGTAATTTATTGCAGCTAAACAGTTCTTAGATGTGCTGGCTGTATTAGTTTTATTTTTTTCAGGCTTTTTTCTGTTATTTTCACCCAGTGATCCTGCCAGTAACACGCTACTTGTTGTAGGGAGACAGCACTCTTTAAAAGTAGGGATGCACCAATACCGTCTTTTTATCGGTGAGTATGAGTACTGATACTTTCGGTCAATTACTCAATACTTTGTGGTGTGATTTGTGTTAATGGATGCAAATTGCACTGCAAAGATTAGTATGCGATTTGAACAGGAATGTGATTCCTGTCCAAATCGCATGCGGTTTCCCCACTGCTCCTATGTGAGCCCAGACTTGTCATAGCCCGAGTTCACACAGGAGTTTGAGGGAAACCTTCCTACAGCCATCCCATGCTGAGTGTCAGTGGTAGGAGAGGGGGGAAAGCAGTGCAGATTTCAAATCCTCGGCAGGGATTTCTTTCCTCTCCTTATAGCTGTTACAGTTCTGACTAGATGGCATTTGATTCGTTAGCTGCCAACCACTGGATCTAAAAAAATAGTACAGCTGCAGGCACCACTAACCACTGATAGTCCAGCGGCGTACAGGTATGTTACTGGTCCAGAAGTGGTTAACGTTACTATATCTATGGAGGAGCAGCGTTGTCATTCTAGGTATGCACTACAGAACACCATCTCCTCTCCCCTGTGTACAGGATGATAGATCTCCATGTTGTGATTTGATAGCACGCCTTACAGTTGTCTCTGTGGCGCAATCGGTTAGCGCGTTCGGCTGTTAACCGAAAGGTTGGTGGTTCAAGCCCACCCAGGGACGAGTTTTTTTTTTTATGATTAGAAATAATACATAACTTTAGGACTCCATGTACACTGCAGCTGATAAACTGACGTTCAGGAGCTTTTCTGCATTTTTTTCAGCAGCCCCTAAACTCTCCCTAATGTTTTCCTATGAGTCATGTACACATCGACGTTTACAGTTGTTTACAGGCAGTTGAGTTTACAGTCGTTTTTTTTAAACGCAGAAAACTTGCACTTAGGAGTAGATTTTATCAGCATTTCAAACTCCAAATGCTTGTAAACATGTGTAAATGCAGCTAAACGCAGCTAATTGCGTCTAGAAGTGTTTGCGTTTGAATTTTTTTAACTCTTCCTTTTCCAGATGCTTTCCAGAGCCTTTTTTCATCATGAAAAATGCATGCAAAGCGTTTTCCCAGTACTCAGATGGACCTGGTACACCATACAGACAAACACCACAAAAGAAGAAAAAAAGACAGCTAATCTCAACACATACTGCTCTCTCTGCTTCTACTCTCTCTCTATCTCTCAAAATTTCTGAAATAGTTCATTTTGTACTGTTTTTCAGTGCATTCTGGGCATTTTGAGAGGTCTCCTGAGGTTATCTTTAAAAAACACTTCTAAACGCAAACGCTCATAAATGTACATAAACGCGGTATGCAAACTCTGCTAAACAGACTTTTTTTAATCTACGTTTTCCAACAGTCAGTTTCCATCGTTCAGATGTGTCCTGTATACATGGGGCCTAAAAGTCATGGGCATCATCTTCAAGTGGCAGATACACCTGCAGGCTGTATTTAGATGTCAAATAGTCACAGCCTTTGAATAGCAGGCACCTACAGCAGTTTGCAGATCAACCAACATGCAGGTCTTGTATGTGCTTGTGTCCACCGGTACAATTTATTGTATTCTGCACAGAGCTATAGATAGATAGGCAGCAATCTTCCACAATATCTCCAGACTCATGGGGGGAAACAGGGAAATATGTCATTTTTGTACTCAACAGTTTTTATTAACCACTTGCCACCGGCGGTGTATTTAGATTTTGTGCTGCCCTAGGCAATACAAAAATCCCCCCCCCCCAGTGGAGACAGCCAGAGAATCTGACATGGACCAACACCACCCCCTCTTCCCCCAACCCCCGCAGAGAGAGCCTGATTGACCAACAATACCCCTGCCCCCATCTCTCCCCCACCCAAGACAGCCTTCCACTACCATCACTCCCCATACACCAGCCACCCCTCCAGCAAGAGAGAGAAAGACACTCACCTTCACAGCTCTAGACATTCCCGGGAACGAGAGTCAGGCTCTGCATACACTGTCAAGCAGCCCTCAGCCTCCCTTAGATCCCACCTGGTCCCCATGCTGCGTGTGTCTCTTTTTCTGTCCTGTCTTCCAGGGGTCAGCGCTGCCCCGCTGAAAAATGCCGCCCTAGGCAAATGCCTTGTTTGCCTCATGGTAAATACGTCATTGCTTGCCACCCCACTACAGTACATTTAGGCCTCTTGTACACTGCTGCTCCTAAACATGAGTTTAGGAGCTTTTGGCATTTTTTTTTGCCGAAGCCCAGAGTTTAGGAGCAGCAGAGTTTAGGGGCAGTTAAACATCCCTCTCCTGAACAAAGAAAAATCATGTTTTGGGCACAAAAACGCTAAATGCAGCCAAAACGCATGTAAACACGTGTAAATGTGTCTAAATGCTAGCCGCGTTTAACGCTTGGGTGTTTACTCATGTCATTGTAAAATACTCTGGTCAATCAAATGAATAAACTTCCAAGCACTAAACGCGGTACCACGTTTACATGTATTTTGCCACGTTTAACGTTTGCCAGGAGAGCTTAACATCTAAGGGAGTACGTGTGTACATGAGGCCTTACTGCAGCAGGCTGGCAAGTGCAGGTGTAGGCTCAGTCACATATATATACACATGATTGTGCCTGCTCTTGTTTAGGAGCGTGCAGCGTACCCCTCCTGTGCCGGATACAGCAGATCACTGTTACCAGTAACCAGGTTTTATGTGATCACTATGATTAGTCATACCGATCACATGATAACAATGAAAACAGCCTCTCAAGAGTGGCTTTCCATTCATGAACAGCTTGCTTACTGTTGTGATCTGTGATTGGCCAACAGCAATCTCATGGTACCTGGCTACCTGTACCATGTGATTAGCTGTAGCCAATCCCAGATCACAACCATAGGCAAGCTGTTTATGAATGGGACATTCGCCCATCCACGACAGCTAAAGCTATCGCTTATGCAGGAATCATTACTGTATAACCAAGCAGTATTAACATAAAAATCCCTAATCACCCCCCCAGAGTAGTACAGTGTTATTATGGTGACACTGAACTACTCTGATGACAGAGTTGAAAAAAAAAAGAAAAAATGTAAAAAAAGAAAACATTTTTTTAAAAATTGAATTATTGAACTATTGAATTATTAATAATAGTATTGGTTATTAATAATATTATTATTAATATTATTAGAATTGATATTATTAGAATTAATATTATTGAATTATTGAATTGAATTATTGAACTTATTTAACCACTTCAATAGCTGACACTTTCACCCCTTTCCTGCCCAGGCCAAGTTTCAGCTTTCAGTGCTGTTACACTTTGAATGACAATTGTCCGGTCATGCAACACTGTTAGCATTTTTTTACACACAAATAGAGCTTTCTTTTGGTGGTATTTAATCACCACTGGGTTTTTTTATATTTTGCTAAATAAACAAAAAAAGATCAAACATTTTGAAAAAAAAGTGTTTTTTCTTAGTTTCTGTTATACAATTTTGCAAATAAAAAATATATCTTCAGAAATGTAAGCCAAAATGTATTCTGCCACATTTCTTTGGTGAAAACAACCAAAAATAGGTGTATATTATTTAGTCTGTGGGAAAGTTATAGAGTCCACAAACTATGGTATATACAGTATGTCTGAATATCGATCAATCCTGATGTTCTGATGTTCTATCTCATTTCTTGAGGCCTGAAAATGCCAGAACAGTACAAATACCCTCTAAATTACCGCTTTTTTTTAGAAAGTAGACAGTCCAAAGTATTTAGTAACAGGCATGGCAAGTTTTTGTAACTTTTTTGGAAAATGAAGAAATTTAAAAAAATTGGGTTTTTTCAACAATTTTTTTTTACATACTGTCACCAGTTTAGTACAGAGTCACCGTATAACTGGTGTGGCGGTGATCAGGAACACTGCATGGTGACAGTATGTAAAAAAAAAAAAGAACACTTTTTTTAAATGTTTTCTTTTCTTTTCTTTATGTTTTTTTATATATTCTGACCAGAGCAATACAGTGTTACCATATTAACACTGTACTACGCTGGGGAGGTGATGAGGATTTTATTTACACAATATGATTGCTTTTAACAGTGATAATCACTGTTATAAGCAACCATTTTTTCTGAATAAAATCCATTATTTCAGGGTTTTCTATTGTGGTTAGCTGTTATTGGTCACAGCTAATCACATGGTACCAGCAGTGGCCGTGATTGACCCTGTCTGTACCTTGTGATTACTGTGACCAAGGACACAAATGAATGGCTATGGATGGAAGCCGTTTATGGTGTGCAATTGCCATGTGATCTGCTGTGATTGGTCACAGCAATCACATGGTACCAGCAATGGCTAGTACACTGATCTATCATCTGCTGTGTCCAGGACACAGTGGGTGACAGATCGCACAGCAGCATGCATGAGGTAAAATCCTGGGATAGCAGTGTTCTCGCTTAGCCATCATTTGTCTCTAGGCCAGGTGGGAGAAGGTTAAATGTTTTTTTTTAACATACTGTTATCAGTCATTATCCCTGATTGCCACCACACAAGTCATGTGACAAAGTCATGTGATGACCCTGTACTGCATTGGAGACAGTATGTGAAACAAAAGGGGAAAAAACACATTTTATATAATTTATTCATTTTCCAAAAAAGTTTGAAAAAAATTTACAACTTTAAAAAACTGGCCATGCATTTTACTAAATACTTCAGACTGTCTGTCTACTTTCCAAAAAAGGGTAATTTGGGGGATACTTGACCTGTCCTAGCATTTTAGTGACTCAAGAAATGAGATAGGCCATCAGTACATCAAGATTGATCAACTTACAAATACACATTATTACCAAAAGTATTGGGACACCTGCCTTTACACACACATGAACTTTAATGACATCCCAGTCTTATGCAGGCCATAGACGGGGAGAAAACCGGCCAATTTTTTTTTAGAAAAAAAACAGAAAATTGGTCATTCAATCAACCGACGTTACCACCATTGGTAAAAAAAAGTTGACTGATTTTCGTCCCATCTACGGCCGGCAATTAATATAATAGCGGTGTCCCTGCAGAGAGCTCCACTATATTTGACATTTAAAAGAAGAAGAAATAGAATATGAATAATAAGAAGAAAAAGTTGCAACATTTTATCTATTTGTATCCATTTTGGATACAGATGTTTCTATTCAGATACAAATAGATACAATGTTGCAATCCTTATACTTTTAAATGTCAAATATCATAGCGGAGCTCTCTGCAGGGACACCGCTAATAGATTTGACATTTCTAAGTATTGCAGTTGCAAACATTGTATCTATTTGTATGGATACAAATAGATACAGATGTTCTTCTTCTTTTTCTTTGGTCACGGCTCATGCGCATTTTATTAATTGGGAAAAACATTGTTTGATTTGCCCATCATTGCCGTGTAAATCGGCCGATGGGCAAAATCGGCCATTTTTTTTTCCAACATGAACAATTAAAAAAAGTGTCAAAATCAAGAAAACTGGCCGACCATTCAGCCACTAACAATCCGAAAATCGGCCGATTATTTTTTTGGATGAATTTTCGGCCGGGTTTTTTCTCCCCGTCTATGGCCTGCATTAGTACGTAGGGTTCAATATTGAGTTGGCCCCGCCCTTTGCAGCTATAACAGCTTCAACTCTTCTGGGAAAGCCATCCACAAGGTTTAAGAGTGTGTCTATGGGAATGTTTGACCATTCTTCTAGAAGCACATTTGTGATGTCAGGCACTGATGTAGGACAAGAAGGCCTGGCTTGCAGTCTCCTCTCAATTTCATCCTAAAGGTGTTCTATCGGGTTGAGGTCAGGACTCTGTGCAGGCCAGTCAAGTTCCTCCACCCCAAACTTGCTCATCCATGTCTTTTATGGACCTTGCTTTGTGCCCTGGTGTGCAGTCATGTTGGAACAGGAAGGGGCCATCCCCAAACTGTTCCCACAAAGTTGGGAGCATGAAATTGTCCAAAATGTCTTGGTATGTTGACATCTTAAGTTCACTGGAACTAAGGGGCCAAGCCCAACCCCTGAAAAACAACCCCACACTATAATCTCCCATCCATCTTAAGTTCACTGGAACTAAGGGGCCAAGCCCAACCCCTGAAAAACAGCCCCACACCATAATCTCCCATCCATCAAACTTTACACTTGGCACAATGCAGTCAGGCAAGTATC